TCATATGATCCAGTTAAAATCCAGTCAGATCATGTGATTTCCTGTTAAAAACTCGTCAATGACAGTTTTTCTGACTCTGTAGTAAAGCCGTAACTCTCCTTTGATGATCTAATGTCAGACATGGGTCTACCCTAGTCCATGCACACCAAAGGTCAAATCTTTGATCTTATTTCTTCCCACTCTGGTCCTCCCTCACTCCTGCTCTGGCATTCACTGGCTCCTATATAAATTCCTGTAGAACAGGCACATCCTTACACCTGAGGGTCCTTGCTCTGGCTGTTTTATGTCTGCAATGTTGTCTCTCCAAGTATGTGTGAAGCTCTCTCCTTTACCACTTTTAAACATTTATTCAAAAAACGCTTCTTGCTTTCTGATCATCAGATTTAAAAGAGGAAGCACATAGCCCCAATGTATAAATCTTTTCCTTCTTTATTCGTTCTACAGCACATAAGATCATCAAACCTTGTACATTTAGCACATTTAGTTTGCTGTTTTCATATTCCCTTCCTTAGAGGCTAAGCTTCCTTATGACGAGATTTTTGTGAAGTCTAATAACATCTTTACCCCAACACCTAGAACACAGCTTGGGACAGAATGAGTGTTCAGGAAACATTTGCTGAATATGAGCAAATCCCCCACCCAAAACTGCCAGAAGAAATTAAAGTAATGATAGTGTCGTGAGATTTATTTTCATTCACTTTGAATTTACTTGGATGAATACCCATGTTATTTTTTTTTAGTATTAACAAGGATTTGAAAACAAAGGATCCAGATGGTCAGATATAATAATGAAAGGCATATAGAAATGTGTTTTGAATTGATGCCAATTTGGCAGCGACATCTGAGCAGCTCCCGCAGTCTGTATTCTTTACAAATTCTCTGTTATCTCCCTAAATAGTTTGTGGCTGCTTCTTAAAAAAATAAGAAAGAAAACACAGTGTTCAAGATTTTAAACATTTTGTGTGTATATGTACACACACATGTGGGTTTAAGCTTGCAAACATTTATTTGATTTCTGAACATTCATTCAATTAAGTCTGACCCAACTTTTCTCATTAATGTTTTCATTGATATGCATATCAATGATCTTATTCAATTAAAGGTCACCCTTTTCAGAAGTCAATTCTATGCTGCCATTAGACAGTGTAGAAACTCTGATACCTGAATTTGGAAATTTTCCTCTAAGTCATGAATTAAAGAAAATGTATAGATTGAGAACAGTTCACTTATCAGAAATATCTGATAATTTGGATAACATAAATTGTTCAGACATATTTGAAAATCTCTTATAAGAAATGGAAAGGAATGAGTCAAACGGGAAAGATATTGGAGAACAATTCGTCAATGAATGGATAAATCGAGTTAGCTATTTTTAGCTATGAAGAAGTTTGGTTTTTACAACATTATAAGCTGTGTGTCATACAAGAAAAATATGAGGGAAAAGAGTCTTACTTAAAAAAATCACAGTGAAAAAGCTCAAGGAAGAAGTTTACATCATCAGTTAAATTTCATCAGTGAGCAATATGATATCATCTCATAGAAATCATTTCAAAACTGAAGAACATGTTTTTTCATTTGTATATCTGTAATAGGCTTTTAAGATTTCTATTTTTAAATTCGTGCTTTATGAAAACAGTAATTTGTCAGTGTTGCCTAACACAGAACGATTATAACAACGTATCTGAGACACACAAATCCTGAACTTTTCATGTGGAAGGATGCATCAAACTTTACAGTTTTCTAGACCGATGAAAAGGAAAATTAAGATTGTAATAAAAAATTCATCTAAGCTCAAGATGGTACTTCCTTTTACTTATTCCTTTTGGTTTTTTTATTGTATTTCTGTTACATACTATGTGCCCAAGGGTATGTTAAGTGCTTTACACATCAATTTTTATTGCATTTAGACAACAGCTTGGAACGGTTGATCTCAGACATCACATTATATGGAGGAAATTAAAGTCTAGAGCTGGGAGAAGATAACATGAGGCTAAGGTTTTGCTTGTTGAACGTGTGAGCGCTGTGTCTGAGATAGTTCAGAAAGGCTTCCAGAGAGCTGGAAGAGGGAGGGCTGAGGACCAATATGCTGCTTATTAGGAGAGATGCTAGACATTTCAGTTCATTTTCTCCTTTTGGTCATTTTCCGGATTTTCACTACTAAGCACAGGCACCAATTTCAAGAAGGTTCTGTGTGGATTGTGTAAGGCTTTGGAAAGAGGAGACTCTTGGATTCTCAGATTCTTTTCTTGAAAAGAGCAGATAAATTCCTTGCCCCCTATCATTCAGGTGGTAAGTAAAGGTATAGGAATTTGAAATTAATTGTTTTATTCTGAACTCTTGGTTTTTGTTTGTTGGTGTTTGCTGTTTTTTTAATGTTACCAAGTTAAAAACTCGGCTGGAACTAGCTGTTTTAAAATAAAATTGGATTCCCAAAGGAGACACAAGGAAAAAACTTACAGCCATTTCTTATCCTTTGCTGCTTCTAGAAGTTCACTTTTTATTATTAGGTTTCTAAACAACAATAATAAATGGATTTGAAAACATGTAAGGTCATATGGCTTTGAGGCTTATTCAAATATTGTCTGAACATTTAAAATGATGACTCTTTACACACGTACTGTTTATGTTTGTTTAATCACTTATAGTACTCGATATGTGCCAGAGTCATTTTGGTGCTTCAGAAATAGTTAACCATCTAATCCTCCTAACACATCAACTGCTAGCTACAGTTATATTTTATATGTGAAGAAATTGAGGTATAGAGTGTTTAAATAAATTGTCCACAGCCCCACAGCTAGTATTGGATCCGAGAGTTAATCCAGCTAGTCTGATTTCAAGGACCATTCTCCCTATCATCTGTTATGTTGCTAAGCAAAAGGCTGACTCTGTAAGACTTAGGGGCCAGCAGGAAATGCTACTATAAGTAACCTTCTAACCATGATGCCGATGAAGATTTCCTCCAGTGTCCTGTGAAATTATAATGAAATCATCTCCTCGTTCCTCATGGGCCTTAATACATGTAGGGATGATCTATCTATATCAGTCACTCATCCAAAGTGTGAATTACTTCTCCTTCATAGATCTTCTTTGTGCAACCCTCTTAGTAAGAGTAGGTGCTTTTGCTCAAGGAAACTTTCTTTGTATATAATTGTCCTGCTATTGCCCTCATTTTCATATTTTGAAACATTAGCTGCATGCATTGCGGCAAATTAATTTTTGGAAGTACTTCTCCTACCTGGGGCTATTCTTTATATTTTTATATTACTCATAGTTTTTAGTTATGTAGTTCACTTTAGTCGTAGAATTGACACTGTTCTGTGGTCATGGCGATTTATTAAATATGGAAGAAAATGAAGTCTTCTTATTGCCATTGATCTAAATCCCTGAAGGGCTTTTGTGAGAATGAATAAGCAAAACTAAACTAAACTAAGAAAGTCATATTAAAGTAAATGATTAGGCAGAGTCTTGGAACTATTAATAAATAAAGAGAAGTTTTCGTGTTTGTTTTTATTGTTTGAGATTATAGTAGGCAAAAAAGAAACCAAGCAGCGTACACTTAATTGGCATATGCTCTAATCCATAAAAGTCTGTCTCTAATGACATTCCTGAATGTCATATTCCATTTAGGTTTATTCCAATAAATACAATAATAAAACTTGTCACTCTTCACCATATTCTCTCAATGTTATTACTACGAAAACACAGACTTTTTCTATTCCAAAATAACAGTGTAGGGAACGAATTGTATTCTCACCTGCCAGGAAGTTGAACAAAATTATGAGCATCAGGCTGCCAAATTTTATTTTTGTTCTATTTTTAGTTTCATCTCAGCACATTGAACTGGGCCAGAAAGAATTGCCTTTCACGGATTCCCTATGAAACTTGTTCTTCCTTTCCCTGCACTGATGTGCAGAGATGTGGATTTACTCCAACTTCTTCTCTGTAGGTGTCCTAGGCCTTTCAAATGCCCTGTTGGATAGAGCCCAGGAGCTCCCCTGGCTTCTCTTCTACGTGGTCTCATCCATTTCCCTGAAAATAGGCATGCGTCCTTGCTCCTGCAATCATAGGGCTTTGGGCCTAAGCCAAATGAGTACCATTAACTTGCCTTTGTCCCCAAACTACCCAACACTTTCCCTCAATGTCACAGGCAGGAGTCAGATCCTGACCCACTGCCCTCCTCAGCTGGGAGGAACCACGCTGGTCCTGTGGTTCCTGTGAAACTCTCATTTCACTTGAGGTTAGACGTGTCCTCCATCACCATTCTTCCTAGGGGGTGCAGATGCCCTCGGTGTCAGAGCAATCCTCTCCGAATAAATGTCTCACCACTTGTAGTTCCACAGTGCGAGAGAGTATAAGATTCTTAGAACATGTTTCTTTGGAAAGTGTGCATATGAGGTTTTGGAATGTTGTAGAAAGTGATTGTAATATTTAGTCAAGGAGTTAACGTTAACCTTTTTTTAAAAAAACATTGTCACTGTTAGTGACAAGCAAAGGGGATGGAAAGTTCTTTTCTGTCTGGTGCCTGCAGTCTGGAGGAATACGACTCCATGCAAGCTCATTCACATTAATCACCTGATTTATCATCACAGCCATTTGGTTGGAATAGGAATAATATTACAGAAGAGAAAACTAAACTTCAAAGAGCAAATTTTATCATCACAGCAATTTGGTTGGAGTAGGAATAATATATACAAGAGAACACTAAGCTTCAAAGAGTAAATTCTCTAAGGTCTTACAGACACTGTGAAAACAGAGGTATCTATGCAGAGAGCTCCTGCTCTGCTCACCACAGCGTCACGTACTACACATAACTATCCCATTGCCAAGGTTAGCCCACGATCGCTCAACCTATTTTTCAAATAAGCAAATAAGCACCTTTGTTTTGTAAACTTGGATATAAAAATAATTTGAAGTCATCTGTACTACTAATGATTTTGAATATGGCACAGTATATTAACATTTGGCTGTATCTTAAAATATATATTTAATTTTTTTTTCAGACTATTGATTTTGAAGGTTTCAAACTATTCATGAAGACATTCCTGGAAGCAGAGCTTCCCGACGATTTCACTGCACACCTTTTCATGTCATTTAGCAACAAGTTTCCCCATTCTAGTCCAATGGTAAAAAGTAAGCCTGCTCTCCTTTCTGGTGGTAAGTTCATTTACCTAAAAAGTTGTAATAAAAATCGCAAAGGTTAATTGAGTATCAAGTTCTTGTAAAACACAAATGGTTTTCTTAAAAATTGTCTTTGTCGTAGGACTTATAGTTTCACACTAAGGTTGTGTAAGTCAATTCAAATCTCTCCAGTGTAATAATGGCAAAACTGTTTAGAGAAAATGCAGTTTATCATTGTCTATTGCTTGTCCTGGAATTCTCTGTTTAGGTAATCGTTTTTAAGAGATATTTTCAACAAATTTAGAAGAAAAGCTATTAAAAACTAGACAAATACAGATAGCAGTTTATTTGCAAATGGATCAGAAAGCAGTTATGACAAGAAAATTAATACTTAATATCTGTTGTGTCAGTTATTAACATACTTTCATATTTTTAGATTTGTAAACTTAGAACATAGTTTTGATTTTCTCTTAAATACCTTAAATTTTTGTCATTATAAAGTTGATTTGTTCTTTTATTTTGGGTAGCTTTTTCAGAAATGGATAAACACATTAATACCCATTCTAGCAATCCCCTTCTAGTCAGTAAAAAAAAATTCCCTATGTGGTGCAAGAGAATGTAAAATAGGAACTGGGTTAAATGTAGGGTGACCAGACGTCCTGCTTTTGGTGGGACAGTCCTGCCTTTTTAACAATTTGTCCTGTGTCCCATGGCGTTATAAAAAAGTCCCAATTTTTGGAAAGAATGCATGAATGGACAGAAGAACAGGAAGGGAATATACGGTTTTCCGCTGCCATGTGGCTATTTCAACAGAATATGAGTTTTATATTATTTTTGTTAATTTTATAATGTTAAACTGTAATAATAACAAATAATTGTTGAGAAGTGATTATCGAGAACTGCTTATCAAAGTTTGCATTGTTGTCAGGCCCTGCCCTGCCCCGTCCCCTGCCCCCCAACCCCCCGCCATGTTGTCCCGCTTTACAAATGTTAAAATCTGGTCACCCTAGTTAAATGATGTTAGGGTGTTAAAAAGCCAAAAAGAGAATATTGAGGTAATGTGAATAGAACTGTAGGAGGCATGTGTGCCACCTCTGGTTGCAATAGTCAAAACTCAGGAGCCTGGAGAACAGACTTCTTGGAGATGGGAAATAATTGTTAGGTGAGAGTGTTGCCTGGCAGTCTGGTAGCTCCCGGATTCAAGGAGGGCCTCCAGGCCTAGAACTCAGATTTCTGATAAGGGTGCATCACCACAGCCTCTGGCAGACTGTATAGGAGGGGCCCCATTGTGCCTTTGTTGATTGCTCAGAAATAAGATGGAGACTAAGCTTACTGCTACTGGAACCACAAGCCCAAAAGTTACACCTGGAAGAGCAGGCTGCCTACCAGAACCAGCCCTTTCTCTTTCCTCCTGCCTTCTCATCTTTCCCTCTCATGCCTTCTATAGACCTAACAGGAATTTGCTGACAATAAAGAAATGTGGTCTACAACAGCCTTTCTCATGCTTTGAACTTGGGACTCTTTTGAACGCTTTAAAAATTTTTGAGAGATTTTGTTTAAGTGGGTAAAATCTATTGATATTTGCCATAATAAAGGTGATACAGTATAAAAATAACAGCCAATCCAACCAATCACCACATTGGTTGATCAGCCAATCAACCAATTCCACATTAAAAAAATCTGTTTTTATGAAAAATAACTATTTTCAAAAAAAAAAAAATTAGCGAGAAGGGTAGCATTCTTTTACAGTGTTTTAAAACTCTTGAATGCCTGGCTTTATGGAAGGAAATTGGTGAATCCCATCGACTTCTGTGTTTCTCTTGCTCTATCACGTCCTGCAGCCTCTTGAAAACTTCGCTGCAAACTTGTAAGAGAGTAAGAGTAAGAAAAGCAAATAATATTTTACTATCATTATAAAAATTACTTTGACCTTACAAATCTCGTGCTTGAAGCTCACAGATCTCAGTGGGGACACTGGTCTAGAAAGTTCCAGCCCTAATGGCACAAAGCAGAATATAGAAGTGTTAGTAAAGGAATGAGAAGTTTAATAACCAACATTCTGATAATACAAAATATAAAAGCATAGAATTAAGAAAGAAGTGGTTGAGCCAAAAACAAAGCGTGGACAATCTGGTGAAAAGTCCACACTGCTAAGCCTTATTGTACAAGCCATAGTGCTTAAGTGCAGCTTCTCCTTCTGTTAGTGAATGCTGTTAGCATATTTGTCCAAGAGCAATCATGTGTTGGTACCAGCTTTTTAAAGGCAAGTGGACATTTCTACGTGATAACTCTCTTAAGATATATGACGACTAATATGTTGATCATTTTTCTCTTCTTATAAAATATTCTTAGTTTCTTAAAACACTCCCTTTCTATTATGGATTAAAAAGATTTATCATACTCACTCTTTTTCTCTGAATGAGTTCTAAGTCATCTGTCCTTGAAGTAAGGTATCAGTATTTCAGATCATTTTGGGCAGAACATTTTTAAATGAGACAACTCCTTACTTTTATCTGGGAATTAAAACTTCTCTATTCTTCACTTCATGCTATAAATGTATTGTACATACCTTAGACTGCATAAAAGAACAAAATTGTTCTTTATTTAAAGTAATAGTGCACTAATTATAATAATAATTAGTACTTTATTTACAGTAATAATGTCCTTGGGTTTTGAGAAATAACAAGGAGCATTTTTCAGTAATGTTTTTTGTCTAAATAACTGAATCAGATGTGGGAGAAATAAACCAGTTCTGGTAACTCAAGGTAGCTTTGTAGGGAAACCAAATCTCAAACTTTTGTTTCTTCTAATAGCATATATTGTGTCCTAAATAGAAGATGTGAGTTGCTAGGAGTTAAAAAAAAAATCAAATCAGTTTTTAAAATGGAAAAAAAATAAGGACGAACAGATTATGCTTCATTTTGGACAATTGTGTATTCTGTACAATGCTACTTGAAAGAAATATGGGCTGTGTAACTCTGCTCCTGCAGCCATAATAAATTAAACTCTGATTCCTTTTCAATGCTTGGATGACACATTTTAGAAATAAGTACACAGTGTCCTCTTGAGGACTATTTCCAACCCTACATTCTTTTCAGAACTACCTTTGATAGTTTCCCCTCCCCACAGGAATGAGGAGGAACAATAGATCCCAACACCATTTTCAAGGACTGAGGTAGCCTTGCCTCAGAGTTGAAAAAAAAAATGGTTTTATTTTTAGAAACTTCCTTTGCAATGAACTATTCTCTAATGTTTAACATGATATATTTGTGGTTGAAAAATCACAAACTAGGCTCGGCGCCTGTGGCTCAAGCAGCTAAGGCGCCAGCCACATACACCTAAGGTGGCGGGTTCAAATCCCCCAGCCCGGGCCCGCCAAACAACAATGATGGCTGCAACCAAAAAATGGCCAGGCGCTGTGGCGGGCACCTGTAGTCCCAGCTACTTGGGAGGCTGAGGCAGGAGACTCGCTTGAGCCCAGGAGTTGGAGGTTGCTGTGAGCATGATGCCATGGCACTCTAACCAGGGGGATAGCTTGAGGCTCCATCTCAAAAAAAAAAAAAGAAAAATCGTAAACTACCTTTGAATAGGCAGAATGCTATTATATTCTGTGTTTATCCCCTGTTAGATTTCACCATATTTTATTACCATAATACAAGTGGAATATGATAGCTGTTTTTTCTTCTGTATACCATCTGAAAAATAAGAGCTTACTCATAGAAAGCAAAACTTAAAAGGAAAAAAAAACTCATCCTCATTAATGAAAAGAAAAATATTTGGTTTTCCAAAACTAAATGAAAAATATTTAGTTAAAGAAAAATATTTAGTTTTCATAAAATAAAACATAATATAATTAATTATGTTAATATAATTATAAAAACATTAATAATTATATGTAGGCATAAAGGTTGTATGTGTGTGTGTGCATGTGTATACCTGGCTTTTATTTAACTTGTGATACCCAATGATCCATCTGTCATTAGGTATCACAAGTTATATGATAAATATATTTATCACGTTTCAGCTGAAAATTTTCATCTGAATGATCCATATATTTCGTGAAATATACAACTTATTTTTGTGAAATACTTTGTTGCAATATGAGTGCTTTTTTAAAAAACAGAGTCTCATTTTCCTACTCTCAGTAGATTGCTCTGGCATCACAGCTCACAGACACCTCCAATTCTTGGGCTTAAGCAATTCTCTTGCCTCAGTCTCCAAATTAGCTGGGGTCTGGCAACAGGCGTCTGGCACAAATGCCTGGCTATTTTTAAAGACGTGATCTCCTTCTTGCTCAGGGTGGTCTTGGGTCTTAAACTCCTGAGCTTAGGTGATCTACCCATCTCAGCCTCCCAGAGTGCCAGGATTACAGGTATCCACTGTGCCTGGTTTCTGAGTGCCCTTTACTTAAAATAAGATTACCTTTATTGTTCCCAACTGGACTTTTGATTTTGAAGATGTCCTAATGGAATGTCTTTTCTGCTTTCTTATACCTTTTCTGTCCTTTGTAAATGCCAGGGCTCTGCTCTCCCACCTCTGACAGCTCAGTGACCAGCTTCTGACCCTTCTTTCTTCCCTTACAGCGTGTCGCGAAATTGCTCTCCTTAAAGACTTTTTCAAACAGTTGGGGCCTTTGCTTTTCTTCAGCTGTCTTACAAACCATGCTGTATGATTCAATATTACAATCTCATATATTTCAGCCCCTCCTATAAATTGAACTCTAAGGACAATCAGAGAGAAATTTCATAAATATGCAGATTTCTACCATTATCAATTTCTAATACCCAGTACGTATTTACATGACTTGAATGCTTCTTTAGCTTTCTTAAAAAAAAAAAAAAATCTGTCGTAAACATTGTTATTGACATTTTCCCCAGATCAATTATGTTAAACTATTTAAACCTCATTTATAAATGTATTCAAATCTTTCCCCTCAGTCTCAACACATGACATTTTTTCCCACAATTTAAAAAATAGGCACTGTCAGATACAAAACACCTCAATTACTCCCCGAACAACCCAGAAGTATTTCTTCA